CGCGCCCCCACCGGAGCCGTGTGCGCGGGACATCCACAGGTCTCCGTTCGGGCGCTCTGGATGCTTTTGTATAGGCCTCCCTCCCTCAGCCTCACTCTCCCTACAGGTTGTCACAGAGGAAACGCACTCTTTTGCGCTTCTCAGCCTCGAGCCCCATTCTGAGCTCGATCGAGCTCACCGAGGGCACAGCAGCACGTTCCTCAGACCAGCTTTTCCTTCTGTCCACCAGAGAGCACCTCTTCCCACGGTGCTCGGGGAAAGGACAGCAGCGTGCATCATTCGGCTTTCCACTTAGGTCTGCTTATAGCTGCTTGTTAAGATATACTGTATTAAAAAAGCTATGTGGCTTGGTTTACTTTTTTTTTTCTCCTTTTTTTTTCTTTATGCTTACACCGTGAGACCTTTTAGGAGATTCTACTCTCTCCTTAAAGCCTGTTAGCCTGTTTGCTATCTTGCGTGGTTCATGATATCATGGGACCCTGGTGCTGCAGGCAGATGGACCCATGATAATCACCACCTTGAAGTAAAAGGACAGCAAAGCATCCTGTTCCCGACGGGCAGAGCTGAGGGCGCCCTTCCACACGCCTCAGCAACAGCAGCAGCAACTCCACTCTTGTGTGCTCCAAAACAATCTGCGTGCAGTCTGCACTTTCTGGGACTTTCTGCAGAAAAACACTACCTTTATGTTTTCCTAACATAACAACTGGTTTTATTAGAGGTAAAAAATGAACAGGACTCCTTTAAAATTATTGGAAGACAAAGAAATTATTTTTTATTATTTCAATCACTAAGGAGAAAACCCACACACTTTTTCATAGTCATCTGTCCTGCACAGACACTCCATAAATAAACTAGCTGGTTAATTGAATCTATAAATTTCCATGGCATGTTATTGTCATTATTACCTCAAAGGAAGTGCAGGCCCCAAATTGGACCAGCTGAATTCAAACAATGAAACATCTTGCAACTTTCTTTCCTTCTTCATTATTTAAGTGAAAGGGAATTATGTGGGAAGTTTTTTAAGAGGGAGCAAATCTGAAGACAGAATTGGCAACTCTTTTTAGGAAGCAGGACAGATAGCAAAATATGTCCACATTCAGTAAATGTTGTAGACAAAGACCTGAAGAATTCTTCAGTATCTAACAACAAATTCTATCTGCATTTTTTTATCTTTTTCAGAGCATGACTTGGGCACTCAAATGTTGTTTGGAATTGCTCCTAAGTTCTGTGATTGTTCTACAGGTGGCTGTAGCCAATGCCTAAGTAACATTTTTGTGGATAGCCAGTTGAGAGAGAAAACTTCAGCTGGAATTAGGTAGCTGCCGATCATCCGTGTAAACTGTTGCTGAGCCCCGTGGAGAGTATTAGTTCCTAGCCATGAACATGAATTCTGTTTGCTACTATTAGGAGAACCACGAACTTCAGTGGAGACAAGCTGTCAGCAGTGTTTTCACTGTCACAACTTATTCCAACTATGCTCATACCACAATTAAACATTTCAGCTGCAGCTAATGAAAGGGTACCAGTGCTGCCAGTGTTCCATCTTATTTTTCCCAAATCTAATTCCAAAAAATGCTGACTGATTAGAAAAAACCATGCTGTCCAGATGGTTATCATTAAATGTGTCTTAGATCAAGAATACCTGCAGCAGGGCTGGAAAAATGAGAAAGCCTTCTCCAGTAGATCCTTTCTAGAGATAAGCAAAGGCTTGGAGGAGCACCAGTTAAGATCACACCTCTGATTGCCTGTAGGCAATGTTCTGTGCATGGCAACAGTAACCAAAGTTACATGCCAATTCTGAGTTTGCTGGTGGAGGAAAATAATATTAAGGAAAAAATTGTCAGTACCATCTTGTAAAAGCAACGTTTAAAACACTGTTAAAATGCCAACACTGTATTTCTTTTAACAACAAGAAGTTAACAGTTCAAAGTGCACTTGTGACTGCTTGGAATTTTTTAAAGTTGACAGGGTATCAAATGACTGTAGATATCAGGGAATTGTGGTGTGATTCATTAATATTTCAGCAGGACAGAGAGGACAGAAGGGACTGACAATTGTGAATTTTCTATAGGTACACAAATACATGTACAATAAACCAAGAATCCACTGAGTATACATGAGTTCATGTACAAAATATGTACTTGTACAAGAATACAGTTGCATATATGCATTAATTATCAGAGCCCATTTTCCTGTATGTTCTTTATGGAAGCCCTTACATAGTTTCCAATAACCTGACTCTGTATCAGTAACAAAAACCATTGGTTGAATATCCTGCTTGCAATAAAGATATCATATCATACAACAGCTGATGCTTCCTGACTTCCAGAAAGACTGCAGAAGGAAAATTTCTACTTACTGAAGAAATAATGATGTTGTGTCCTGAGCCTTCTTTTTTTTTCCGGCAATTGACTGAACTCCAGCATTATCATTTCTGGAAATATCGTGTACATAATGGCTTAAAGAAAATAATTATGTGTATCTTAGTATAATTGTTATACAAGTATCTTATATAACTTTCACATGACCTGTGTCCTGTAAAGATTACTTCTCGGCAATTTTTTCAAAGCTGAGGTAAAAGATGATTTCACTTTAAAAAATCCCTAAAATTGTATCAGTTTTCTCCAAAAAGCACACACAGTATTTCAGTTATGCTAATTTAGATGTAAAAGCTACAATTAACTTTTAATATTAGCATTTGCCAAAAATCTACTTAAGGTGATATGAAATTGAGAAGCATATCTCTGTCAAACTGAGAAATCTCATGAAACGAAAACTAAATTAATTAATAAATAGCAAATATTTGGCAAGTGAAGTGTGAAAAATCTCCTGATGCAACATAAACTATCATAAATCACTTATTATCACTCCTGTCTTTCCTCAAGGAAAGGCACTTTTTTAATATGAATATCTATTAACTGTGTAAGCAGGTAAAGATTTGAATGGAATACAGTTCCAGTATATCATTTTATGCCATAATGCCAACTGTATACAAAGTTAAATAGAACAATAATTAATGTGAATGGAATAATATGGAATTGCATCAATAAAACTGCACAATTTGGTGAAAATCAATGTAGGTGAATGGAGAACCACACAAATTTATAACGAATGTACTTGATTCAACAGCTGACATTTTGCCAACCATTCTCCAAGTGAAATGAGTGCCGCTGTGCAAGTGTATGCTGCAAGGAGTTGGACAAATACTGTTGGACTAAGTGGTGTTGCACAGCGCTGTGTTACAACATTATAAATACGAACTTCTGAAATTACATTAGAAAGTATTTTATATATATATATATATATACACATATATATATACATATATATATATATGAACCCACACAATTATTACCAGTTAAGGTGGACAAGATGAAGACTGGTGTGAGAACATGAGAACGAATTAATCAGACAGGTAGTTGGAAATAGATTTGGCTGGGAAGTAGTGTGGAAGAGGAAATTAGCTGAATTCTTCGTGACTCATTTCAAGACAAGACTCACTTTAAGGACAGCAAGGATTCTTACCAGAACCTTCATTTTTAGCCTCAAATATTTTTTGAAATTGGAAAATATTTTAGGCAGATTGTGAGATTTTTTTGGTGTATTGTTGTTGCTCTTACTGTTTTTAATGAACCTCCACACTTATATTAGATTAGAAGGTAATCTAGTAGGAGTAGGACAGTACGAATGACAAACTGACACAGCCTAGAACCTTCATTAAGGAGAGTCCTCCCCATAAGGGATTATATCTGCATGAGCTCTCAGTGCCATGTACAGTGAAAAGGGAATGGGACAGAAAAAGTTCTTATATATAACCAGAGAACTGATACTTTTTATCATCTATGTTTAGGAAAAAACTCCATGTATTTTTATAAAATGCCATGTGTATTAAAAGTACTCTTTATTTCAGTTCCAGTTTCAAGGAATATTCTTCTGTTGTTTATTAGGACTCTTGTAGGCTTGCTATTAGTCAAAGATGGCCACAGAGATTTCCACCTGTGACAGTCTGCATCTTCCACATCTTCTGTCTTGTACTCACTTCATTCCCATGTTATTGGCATGCCACTTGTATATTTCTCTGTTCTTTGTTCTCCATGTCTCTGCTGTCTTTCCTTTTCATGCACATCTTCAGTTAGTACTTACCAAGAATCCCTACTAGGGAGATTTAAGGAACACTCAAAATGCAATTTGTGTATGATGTTTCAACCCAATACTTAAGATATGATTCTCTCTCTATCCCGTCCAATTCAGCTTTGTCATTTTTCACCACATATACCCCTTCCAGGTACTCACATCAGCCTGACCAAGGCAAATGTTTATACTAGACACAAGACACAAGTGATTCCTCTAGCTATAGTGAGGTTGTCTTTGCTATCTTTAAAAATCATCCTTTTGCTTTATGCTAAAAAAGCTGGGGGAAGACTGGGACAGAAATGATAACCACAGTATTCAGAGATCCAGTGGGGGGAAAAGGAAAATAAATGTGTCCTTTGGCATTGTTTCTGTGTACAGGTATTCAGCTTCCTGTAGCTTAACCTGAGAGGAAAAGCAAAACAGATTAACTTCTTAGGAAAA